TCCTTCTCCTCCTGCCATGAAAATCAACAGTTTGCATTATGCAATTAAAAATCCTAACCAATAAAGTAGGGAATAGCTATCCAACTGTTGCTTTAGTTGTATGTTACTTCATATTATAGTTATATCAATGTAAATCATTGTTTTCCCTTGTGTTTCTCATTCTTTCCCTGCCATGTCGTAACATGTGGTGAACCCATCGCTGTATTTGCTCCAAAGCAAATACAAATGTATTGGCCTTTCTAGTTATATTTGATTTATCTTACGTACTTGTATTTATTTTGTGAAATCTTGGTGCAATATGTACAGATTTTTTTATTTGCATTTATGATCTGTTATGATTTCACTTTGTTGACTATTATTGTATATAGCCTACCTTTATTTGTGTTCATATTTTGTTTGAAATCTGTTATCTGTACCTTTACTCTGTACTCTCTTTTGTTTATGTATAATTTATTGAAACGGTGTCGTATAAGCCCACACGGCACGAAAATAAAGTTTCATTCATTTATTTATTCATTTATTAATTCATTCATTCATCTATCCATCCATCCATCCATCCATCCATTCATCTTTCTTTCTTTCTTCATTCATTCATTTATTCATTCATTCATTCATTCATTCATTCATTCATTCATTCATTCACGCTCTCTAAACCGGGACCTTAAGGTTTGCCTTAATGCGCTTCTCTTGTTTGTCTGTTATAGAAAACTGATGTGTCATTGGAATTATCTCCCATATGTATCGGCGATATACTGGCGATTCTACCAGCAGAGATGATCATTTCAGTCTGTAAATGACAGAAGTTTTCCATTTGATTCATGACAGTTTAGATCAATGGTTGCACTTGACATGTAATATATATAGATTGTTGATCTTATTATCCGTTCCCAGCATTTACATTTGCTACATTTTAATTTATTCATTTAATTTCCGGCAAAACACGTGCCTGTGTTGTGTTTATGCTGTAATAGAATCGCGTGAATATTACCAGTATAGTACTATTTTACTATTCATATTTCAGTTATTCACATTTATTTAATTATTATTATTATCATCATAATTCTCCTGCGTAGAAGGTCCGGATAGATCGCCGACAAGGATCTAACACAGCTTTATTCCGTAACAAGACAGCTGAATTATCTACAACACAGTCACAACTGCCCAAACAATATGCCTTCGGTTTTCGATTGTACGACAGTCGTGCGACGAACGCGCATAAGTTGTAGGCGTTCCGGGAACATTCCAGGGATGACATACTAGGGTTGTCTGTCAGAACTTGTAATGCGTGCGATCTTCGTCTGATCAGAAAATCGTGCAAACAGGTAAAATCTGAGATTTTATACCTCCGCCTTGTATATTCTTATAAGTTACATGTTGTTTGTTATGTATAGTTGATTGTAGTGTTAAATCTTATGTGTTAGACTTAGCGTTCCAGGTTGTGTTAACACAGGTCAACATTTTCATCTGCAGCTTATAACATGTACCCACAAACTTATAAGCGCCCCCCCCCCAAAAAAAAACTCCGGACGCTCCCGGAACGCCTGCAAACGAGGCTTATTTATGTATATGCATGTGACATCAGAAGCCGACAAATACCAATTCTACATCTCAAGTCATAGCCATTAGTCATAATTTTGCTGAAATTTCAGCCTTCTTGTGAGCGTTAAACTGCCCTTTAGTTACTTCAGAGGTTGGCAACAATGCATGTTAGACAGGTTGATCAGGCCAATTGAAAACATGCACAATAGATGTCATTTAGAACACTCTTTTATCCGGGGAAACCGTTGCCATAGCAATGCCACACTGCACATCTGGCTACTAGAAAAGACATCATGATTTACCTCACCTGAGGATAACAAAAGAAGAAGAGAGAATCGGAACATATCATATAATGTGTTGTACAATAGGCCACACCGACTTAATTTTATGGATGACATCCACGCGCGCATTGATTTTCGCTCGTTCTCAAAAAAAAAAAGGATCACATCCTCCGAGGCTCTGTCCATGGTAGTTGACGAAGGACGAATACGAGCCACCCAGGCTGCCGAAGCTCAACGACTCAAGAACGTAGTACATACGTTCAGTGCCGATTCATAAATTCCTCAAAAAGCCAGCATGTGCCGGCTTGTCGTATACGTACTGAGTACTGCCGCAAATTCACAATACCAGCTTTGCATTCCTGTGGTTTAGTAACATTTTTATTTTTGATCGGATTTTTATTTTATTTCGCCCGCGTGCACTACTTTGGGGGTCTTCAGAGGATGTCATCCATAAAATTAGGGCGATGTGGCCTTGCGTCTTTCTTTATAAAATACACCAAAAGTACTCGCTGCCACTGGACTAGATAATGACGTTTGTTTAAAGGCATCCAAAAGAAATTTCAGGGTGGAAAAACCAAAAATATTCTGGATGAGGAAATCTGTCTGATATTGATATTTTTGCCATTTTAGCACATTTTTCAACACAGAAGCGTCAAAAACAAGTCCCAAAATAAGCTACCCTGCTTGTTGCTACCAATGAATATCTAGAATTCAACCTACAATACGAATGAGCCTTTAAAGTAAGCAAAATTGTGGGGTCGTGTGGCGTAGTGGCAGAGTGCGCGACTCGGAACCTAGAGGTCCCGGGTTCGAGTCCTGACATGCCACCGATCTTGTGCCCTTGGGAAAGGCACTTTACACGACTATCCTCTCTTCGCTCAGGTGAAAATGAGTACTGTCCTGTCATGTATTTGTCCCATGTGTTGGTGGCTGCATTAATTTAAGTTGATAAAACTTGAGTGTGCCGTCACCACGTCTTGTGATTACATGTTGGAATAAAAAAAATAAAAAATTAAGCAACCGTTTTCCCTCAGCGACATCGCATTTTTGCCTCACATATACCACTATTAGAAAATTGACTTTAATTGAGAAGCCAGTTCCCCGCCCTGAAATTGCAATGGAAGATTTAAGCTTCTTTTACCAGACAATTGTGTTGTTTTAAATCAATGACGTCACGTGTCGGTATGACGTCACACGTTGCTCTAGTTGGCAGGGGGATGAATGGGGTTTAAATCAAGTGCTAACGCGCACGCGCAGACCGTTTGGACATGTTTCCCGCTTACCGGAGAGTGATGGTGACAATGTCCAGCGAGAAAAAAAATCGATGGAGGGAAAAACCGCCGCTGCCAGAGCCGTCTGGCCTACCTGCATCACATCAAGAGGTGTCTGTCCAATAACGTTAACATCCCCCATCTTGAAACGATCTGACAGACCGTTAAACTTAGCCTGGTATCCAGTCTGATCGTGGTCGGGGCCGAAAGAGTTCTGTCCCGCCCGCCTCACATAGGTTTCCCGGTGTGTATTTCACGAGAGATTCATTAGCCCTCCCCCCAAATCCCCAAGCATACTGTTTCTTATTAGCGTAACTCTCCTACCGGGACGGTCTGTTGCACTGGGCGGGGGAAGCTATTAGAGCCCCCGAAGGCACAACCTGCCCGAACACCCCAATACCCCCAATCACGTAAGACTGGATACCAGGCTACGTTAAACTAGCCTCCAACAGGCCTTCCTACGGGATCGTAGAATTCGGCACAAAAAGGACGAATAATTAGCCAGAAGAGTCAGTTCTGCGAGGGTTAATGCCCCCTTGCGCGAGCAAATTGTACAGTGGCTAAATTCACCTGCAATTGTTCTTTCTACTGGGTTAAGTTTGACTGTTTGAACCGCGATGTTAGGGCTGTTAGAATCGTTTTATCGTGTTGTACACACGTTTAACTAGCCTGATATTCATTCCATGGCTGTTTTACCAGCACCAGTCCTGGTAAGCATTGGCTATCGGCAAAGTCGACCTTTCTGGAAATATCCGTGCTCTGGTGAGTTACTGAAATAAATCCCACCCCATAAACATTCCCCGGAGTCCACTAATAAGCCTGGACGGGCAGGCAGCACTCCCAGTGCCGAGCACATCTCGGAAAGGTCACGATGGACTGTAACCAGGCTGTACATGTAGGTTGTCTTTCTACCGGCTCCCTGGTATTCCAGACACGTACATGGCAGCGAGCTCCGAGTTGTGAATGAAGATGGGCGTGAACCAACCCCGGCGGCGTACTGTCAGACACTACGCACCTTTAAACGGGGAAATATCGTACCGCCGGCCGCATTCCCCGCACTTACAGGTCGGTAGCCTGAGCTATATGGGGTCAACACTCCTGTAGCTTTAAGGCGATATCAAGCTCGTATATAGTAAATTACAAGGTTTACAAACAAGATATAATTGAAATCTCTTCCTAAGACAAGGGTGTACATGTGTGTGCACACCTTTGCATAGTGGATCAGCGTTCACTGTAGGCTCTGGCCGCATTTCCCGCACTGTTTTAGTCGTCTCCATGTACACTAGTAATTCTACCAACAGAAGTGAATTTTCACGAGGATCTGATGCCTATAATCAAGTGCTGCGACAGACCTTCAGCCCACAGAGGTCAAGGCTATCGATCCAACCCAACAAAAGGATGGCCCCTGAACCAATTCGCCCCGAACCGATGGGCCCCTTTAGTACAGGCGCTGTACAGAAGCCACTATCGGGAAAAACACTGCCTTATCCTGTCTGCTATTTTGACAGGGCCATGGGGGTAGAATTCTGTGGTATACTTTGGAATGCCAGTAACCACGCCACAAGCGTCCCCGTATTTTCAAGGCGAAAAAAAATCATCATATAAGAGTTCAACAGCGAACTGCGGTGTCATGTCTTGACTCCCTCGCTCATTTCGCAGCCTTTGTTAAATTATTTATCCATTTACTATAAATTATGGATGCCGTCTATATAATGCTAGGCCGGCTATCTCTGGGATGTCGCGGGTTAGATTTCTTGAGGTTTATCCCTACAAAGCTGGCCGGGTTGTTAAAGGGATATCGTACCCGGTACGTACATGTATGCGTGTGGTGAGAATGTAAACAGATGTGGTTATCGTTTAACACAAGGGAGTAGGGTTCAAATGGTTTCTATAATACCTGGTCCCTTACCTTTGTGACGGACATCATATATTCCCATCCAAACATCAAACTGTCATTCTTGAGGGGGGTAGGGGCGGTTGAGGGGGTGTTGTCCTTCGGGCGGTGCCAGGGGGGTGGAGTTGTGGTGGGTGTGCGGCGGACGGACGGACGGTTACCCCAGGGAGACCAGCAGGACCGACTGGCATCCACTCCCGCCGTACTTATGACGTCACTTCCTCTCACTGTAACATCAACGCACGCTGTCAGGTTCGGGGGGGGGGTAATATCATACATTTACACGGGCGTGTTAAGGCCACACCAATTTAATTTCTTGGTTACCGGATTTTTCTAGAAAAATAATGGAGCGGGCGGGCGAAAAAAAGTAAAAATAAAAACAGGCCTAGGCATCCTATTATGGCCCAAAATGGTACGATAGGAGCCATAAAGTCAACACACCAGGTTCAAAATTTAAACAATGAATTTTGAACTTTTGGATACCATTGCATGAAAGAAGGAATAACTGTAACACCTAGGATGAAAAGGTTTTTAACTGTTCAGGGCAAAATATGAGCATTTTGCAGTTGATTCTGAATTTTTCTATTTTTATTTGCAAATCAGAAAAAAATGAAGCGGGCGAATCCGTTAACCAAGAAATTAAATTGATGTGGCCTAAAGGCATTCAATGTAGTTTCAGGGCGGCATGAAATATTCTGGATGAGGAAGTCTTTCTGATATTTTCATTCACTGCCATTTCTTATCATATTTTCATCATCATTTCACGCTTGAAGCGTATGAAAAAGCCTCAAAACAAGCTGCTTAAGGAGTATCTTTATTTTTTGGTACCACCAGTTAACAGCCAGAACCAGCCAACGATACGAAACAGGCAACTGCTTTCTATTTGCGACATCGTATTTTTGCCTCACTCAGATCTATGCTATGAGATGGGGTTTATTCACCTAACTACATTCAAAACATGACAAAAAAATGACTTTGAAAATCCAGTTGTGCTGCCCTGAAATCACTTTATAAAACAACTATTATCATAGATTTCCTCGTCTTTTAAACTGCCAAAATTATTCGTACCAATGATATGCATTGTTTTCTACAAAGAAACGTAACTCGAACAAGAAAAGCATTGACTGCGGCACCTCCAACACGTAGTTATAACGAACCGTCCCCTTATGATATATTGCACTTTTGCAGACAATTGCATAAAAGGACTAGTGGTTTTTAGATGATGGGATATTATTATTCCGCATGAAAGATTATACCTGGACGCTCTTTACTTTCGAAACCCTACTGTTTGTGACTCTCATATATTCGTGACTTTATTAGAAGAAGAACTTTATTGACACAACAAAAGTACAGCGACTTTCGTAAGGTCTAAGACATGTAGATATACAAACAAATATACATGGATACAACGAAAATATCCTACGTAGAAAACAATAGATGGGTCAACTAATACTACTTGTCTAAACATTCTTTGATATATTTACCTATTTGTACACAGTAAGGGTTATTACCTTCTAGGATGAAATTAAATTTATCTATAGCATGAAATGTAACAAATTCTGTTGAACAGGCGGAGAGAAGGTTAAACAGCTTTGTGCCTTTATCGTTATATAGTGTACAATTCAAAATAAAATGTTGTTCGTCTTCAATATCATTGGGACAGAATGGACGAAACCTCTGGTCACGGGGGATATTTTTATATCTTCCTAACTCTATATTCAATTTATGGCTAGAAATTCTCATCTTTGAAATCGATCTACGAACTTCAAAATTATGTATTTCAGAAAGGTAATTTTCTTGTCCGTACCTCTTCTTTAACATCGAATATTCAAGGCTTGCTACTACAAGACAATGACAATATTATTCCCTGCACGTCTTTGAACAGACCGTGATATTGTAAAGCTTTCCTGGCGTCAGATTTGATTAGGTACAAACGCAAACAGGTCTCCTGGTGGGTTTTATTTTCATTCATAAAAAGAGTGACCTAGCCGTGGGGAAACGTGGACTAGAAACAATCCAAGCAAACATTTAGGTTGCTGCAAGACAGTATCAAATTGGAAGCAGTATCAAATTGGCAGGGCGGTATGCGTTTGCAACAGGAAGCCTAAAAAGGCATCGGTACAAAAAAGAAAGCCCGATAAGGCCACACCAATTTAATTTCTTGGTTAACGGATTTTTCTAGAAAGATGATGGAGCGGGGGGGCAAAAAAACAAAAAATAAAAACAGGCCTAGGCATCCTATAATGGCCCAAAATGGTACGATAGGAGTCATGAAGGCAACACACCAGGCTGGTTCAAAATTTAAACAATGGATTTTGAACTTTTGATGATACCATTGCATTGAAAGATGAAATAACTGTAACAACCAGGAAGAAAAGGACTGTTTTCAACTATTCAGGGCAAAATATGAGCATTTTGCAGTTGATTCTGAATTTTTATTTTATTTGCAAATCAGAAAAAATGAAGCAGGCGAATCCGTTAACCAAGAAATTAATTTGGTGTGGCCTAACAAGATTTCAGAAATTAGCGAAAAAGAAGAAGAGTAGAACCAAGAAATTTTATTTTAAAAAGGCCTTGTCTACAAGAACTAATGTTAACGTTATATGTTTCATATAGGCTAGTCCTCCATATCCTCTCAGAAATACGAAAAACATTTTAAAAACACAACTATTCCAGTAATCCTTGAATATATATATGTAATGCATTAATTGAGAAAAATCACATATATATGGTAATTACAAATAACAAAAAATAACAGATAACGACATTGTAGAATACCATCTGACTACTGTGCCTACTATAGTTATATATTAATTGCTTAAATCTAGCTTTATTGAGTTCGATACCGCTTCAGACGCTAACCAAGTCAGCGCTGTAATGATTTCTCCAGCGTGAATGGAGATGTTTGTTCCATTTATAGCGCTGCATGACGCAGGTGTTTTGTGAGGACTCCGGTAGACCGTAATGACCTATTCACTCCATCGGTAAAAAACCTCGCTCACTGAAACTGTATTCATTAGAACAATCGAGAAGAATATGAGGCGAGTTAAAACTGTATTTTTCAACATAAATAATTGGACTTACCCACATTTTCGACAGTACAATTGTAAGACTACACTGCCTTTCCTGGTTGGTCTACTTAATGAAACATCACATGTACCTACCATAATTTCCTGCTAGATTGATATATTGGTATATGTTTTAACAGTAGCGAAATGGTTTTAATATGCGTAAGATGAACGTGAGGCATTTATGAAGCAAGTTTAAACTGTAATTTCCAACACAACAAATTACACTCACCCAAATTTTCGACTGTACAACTCCAATCTTTGTCAAGGAATGAGCAATCCACCGCTTTCGTGGCATTACAACCATCCCTCAACAGAGACGGGGGGCGCCACATACTTTCTGCAACCTTTGTTCCACTGCTCACGGAGTCACGTGTGTTATCTGTGTGACGTCACGGAAGCGGTGGTTTGCTCATTCCTTGACAAAGACTGGAGTTGTACAGTCTTGAAATTTAGTTGGAAATTACAGTTTTAAATTAAGTGTAAATATAATTTAGCCAAAAAAGTACCATTGTATGGTTGTTTCGAGTCCCCACAATAAACCATTGATTGATTGAATTGATATGCCGGCCTCTAATTCCTGCTGGCTCTCGGCCAAATTGTGGGACTTTCAAGTTCACCTCATTTTCCGTATCTGACCTTTTTAAACCTCCTTCAATTCTACATGCGAATCTTCCACCCACGTGCTGTCAACCTACCAGCATACAGACAAACCCACATCCTTTTGCATATAACAGAAAGGTAAAAACAGGACGTGAGATAACCTTTTCCTGAACCTTTGACCTAACTTCCTTGAGCTTGTGGAAATACAAGCAAATACACAGTCAATCTAAAGAAAACCTATATAATACACACACAGGTAACAATCATTCAACATTTCACACACAAATTTCATATAACGGATCATTTTATTTAGGCTTAATTCTGTGAAACACAAGGTGACAGTTACGGTTGGCACGGACACGACATCACATGATCACATCAATTAAACAGCAACAATGGCGATAAACGTATAACTACATTAACTTAGAACAGCGTGTACTAGCTATTGCAACGAGCGATGTCATAAATTATTTGTAAACATTCTGAAACCGTACATTTGTATCTTAAATAACGGATTATATACATAATATTCAAATTCGATGCAGTTCCGCTGGTAAAAAGGCAGATATATAAATAAGACCGTACCAAAATATATATACAAATCTATAAATAGATATGGCAGCGTCTGACTACGGATCGGTGACGTCACTATTCTCCGTGTACCAATTCGCAACCTTGGTACTTCAACCTGAAACACATGAAAACAGTTCTCAGTAAATATGACATGAAAGGTACCGCATTAATATCAATTTAGAGTAAGATTATCACTGTTTACTG